AAATCTCTGCCTTCCTCAGTGCTGTGAAAAGAAAAATCACTCCCCAATGGAAATCCACCATTTTCACAGAAGTAAAATTACTCTTCTCTGTAAAAATGGGCTTTCATCATTTGCATTAAATGTAATTAAATAATGTAATTAAATTGTTGCAGTAACTAGTGTCTCTCTGCATGCTACTTGGCTCCAGGAATGCTCAGCATGTATTTGCAATCCCGACTGAAAAGAACTGTCCTCATAGTAAAATTTTGCAATGTCATATCAGGATAAAATGTTTGTTCAGGTTCTCAACAAACTTCACAAAGTCAGTCACGTAGAGATACATGAAAACAAACCAGCAGATGTGACTCTGAAACATTACAGAATTGCAAGCAAAATTTAAGAAAAACTTGAAACAAACAGGTAGCATTATGCCCTTATGAAGGACACTGAATTGAAAACAAACAAGGAGAGAAGACAAAGCGATTTGTAAGTGATCGCTCCTACACATCATTAAATTTATTCCAGTAAATATAAGACTTTGCTGTCGTTTAGATACAATGTAAATTTAATAGCAATATAAAATGTTGTTATTGGGTTTTATTTTGCTATTTACAATGATGAAATAGCAATGAAGTTGCATTCGGTATGGCAAGAGAGAGAGGCATTATTTGTAATAGTAACAACTGGAGCCAAACCTCATGGAGTTAATGGAATGACACCTATTGCTTGAAATTGCAAGCAGATAATTTGGTATCTAACCTACAAGTGTGGGCCCAAAACGACATTAATATCTCCGTTTCAGAGGCAGAAGGGAGGAGGAGTCGGTAAAAAAAAAGGTTCATCATTTTACATGAACACTTTCTGTTACCTCCATACGCTCAGCTTTGTCCCAGACTTATCTAGAAATGCTACCACAGAACTACTTCTACCATCGTGCCTATGTTCCACGATGCACAGATGAGAAAACAAGAGGTTCTGTTCCCATGAAATATATCTCTGTAAGCCTTTCCAAGTAAAAGAAGCAATTTCCTGCACGTTTGGTCCTACCTGATCTTCAGATGCTGACAGGCAAGTACTGCATTACCATTGGCCAATGCTCCAGCTCAAACCAAACACTCACGGACCGCGGTGCCAAGGACTCGTTTTATCTCAGGTTGGCCTCTGCAACCTAATTCATGTTAGTTCCCACAGATAACTCAAATACTTTTGTTGTTATTAGTTAATTAGGCATTATGCCAACAACCAAAGTTTTTTTAAAAGGATACTACATGCAAGTCATTTAGAAGCTACAGGATCTGAAAACTTTTACCTGTAGGTGAAACATGGGCAGGAACTAAGAAATGATCTGTCTGGAGACTTGTGCGTGGTGAATTCTGCACAGCCACTTCCTCAGTGGAAAGGCACCCATCTCCTTAAAAGTCTCAACGGCACCCAGAGGAATTGCTAGTAACACTTGGCAGGGAACAGATAGCATTTCATCCTACCGACATGTCACTTCGCTGCTTTGAAGGTAGCTAGGAAAAAGTATGGTGATCCTGGCAATAATCCTCCTTACTCTGTGGAGACAGGCTTTCAGCAGAGCCTTTTCTTTATTTATTAAATGAGCAAAAAAGAAACTCAGAAGAGCCCTGTACCTGCTCGGTCTCATGCTGAATTAAACTGGTGCCAGCATCTTCAATCCTGAGCCACAGAAGTGTAGGAAAGCCACAACTGTGTCACCCCCTTTGTGAGCTGCCCCAGCTGAGCTCATTCACAGCACTTAATTAATATCCCTCCATCCTATTGCATCTTAAGATTTATTTGCACTTCCCTTCGGCTCCAAGCCACATGAAGCAAATTACACGTGCAGCCAGAGCACTAGCAGGAATCACTCTGCAACTCACTGCAGAGGTTCAAGCGCAGCCAAGGGCTCTTACGTGGAAAAACTTATCAGCCTAACAAGAGAAAGACGCTGTTCCACTACATTTACCTACAAAGAGCCCACCAGGCTGATGTTCTATTCCAGAACAAAAGTGTCTTTGGCTTTTTACTCCACACTCTGATAATTATTCTGGAATGAAATGACGTTTTGTTCCAGAGTAGAGTCGCCCATCAGGGAACCACTGCAGCACAGATAACTACATCAGAATAAGCTATAGCAGTGTATGAAAGAAAATTTCCCAGTGCAGAAAGCCTAATGTCTCAGAATTGCTGAGATGTTATCTCTGACCTACTTTCCTCAAAGTACCACAGAGATATCTCCACACAGGCATCCAATTATTCGTCGAAATCAACAAGTACTTTGTGCTACACAGAATTAGTACAAGGAGAAAAAGAGAGCAGAGGAGGATGATAGGTGGAAAGAAGTGTTCTTTTGTAGCATTTGCAGCACAGGAATTGATTTCACAAACAAGCTCATCCAAGCAATGTCGTTCTTTCAGTAGACCGTCAACTCCCATCAAAGAGTCATTCTCAACTTAAAATCAGCATGCCCATAACAGCAACAAATGAACGGAAAGGAGCAGAATAGTGCTTTAGAACCAGCCCAGCTGTCTCATGCATCCAGCACTCCCACATACAAATGTTTTCATTGAAGGGGAAAAAAGTGCCAACCCTGAAGCTGAATACCACAGTTAAAAACGGCCATCAAAACCTAACTACGCACCATGCAAACCGTGTAACCCAAGACACGAAGCACATTCCCACAGAAGACCACACCAAAAAAGGACACTTCTGGAGTTCTTACAGTATCTTCAAAAGCAGCATTTCTAACAAAGGATTTCACAAGGCAATAAAACACTTTACTAAGTAATTAAAATCTCCTAAATTGGCTTTTGCTAACTGCACAGTTTATTACAAGGACAGCTGTCCCCAGGGATTAACAAACTCTGGGTTGAATATAAGAAACATTACTGTATTCTTTTGCTTCCCTGAAACCTTGTGAAATCTTGAGGGGGTTTGAGATACAAATTTAGAAGAAACTGATTTAGGGAGAATAAATTTGTAAGTCTTCCAGTAAATGGTGTGGTATAACATTACAGGAAGAGTAATTTTTACCTTAAGAGCCCAGTTAATCTCATTTAAGTCACGAAGTTCACTCTGATGCAATTTGTTGCAAAATTTAGCGCAGTTAGTGCAGATATGAAACTTTCCACCATTTATAGGAGCGTAATGTATGTCTGTTTCTCTGATCTGTGAAAATTAAAACCTTGTTCAACTGACAGTGCAGAATGTTTAGTATAGGAGCACCTCTGTACCTTAAGATCCTATCTCTTAGAACAGTTCTGTACGTCTGATAAGCTATTGAAAAAAATTCTGTTTTCTCTGATTAAAATAGAATTAAAAAAAGAACCGAAATTCTATGCTAAATCAAATTCTTAGGTCAGAATGAAAATTTAGTTTCATCTTAAAAATTCTCTTCCCCGACCCTGAGAAAAAGAAAGTGAGTGTAATATTGATAGTGCTTTTAATATTTATTAGAAAAAGCCATAATTAAAATAATACTAACAGAAAAATTAATTCTCCATCTAAAATCACTTATGGTAGCCTATCTGCTTGAAAGATAACAAAGGACCATTATTAATGAAGCCTTAACATTTAATCAATACAATTTCCAGTTTCTAACAACAAATTCTGTAGCTGTAACCACACAAAAAATTGTAAACCAGCAGTAGATCTGAACTGAATGAGGAATTAGGTTTTTGTTTGTTTATTAAATATTAGGATACCGGTTGGTTTGTTCTTTAGCGTTTTTTTCTCCCAGAGGTAGATTTACAAAGGCATCTTAGGTTTTGCATCCTAGACATCAAACCTGAAGTACCCTGCCACCCAGTAGCACTCCCAACCTGAAAACAGTCCAATGCATTCCCATGACCAGCAGATTTCAGCTCACATCCTCCACCCTCTTTTTTTCCCTTGTACTAATTCTGTGTAGCACATGCCTATCAATACTCAGGGAAGGAAGCCTTTTGCTCTTGAAGCTTATGAACCCCTTCTGAATCAAATTTAACTTAACGCTCTACAAAACAAGAAAATATGAAAAATACCATTCTCTAACTCTTGGAGGTGTTAGCAACCTGGAACAAGATCTGCAAGAGATACCCTCTTTTTTTTCCTTGTACTAATTCTGTGTAGCACATGCCTATCAATACTCAGGGAAGGAAGCCTTTTGCTCTTGAAGCTTATGAACCCCTTCTGAATCAAATTTAACTTAACGCTCTACAAAACAAGAAAATATGAAAAATACCATTCTCTAACTCTTGGAGGTGTTAGCAACCTGGAACAAGATCTGCAAGAGACATGATTTTGAATGAGGGTTACTGAAGCTCCCCTCTTTCCCCAGGAGAATCCTGAAGAAAAATATGCACCTACACTCATTAGGCGGCCATGAAGCATATGAGCACAGAACTAATTTACGACTGGTTTCCTTAGGATTTAGGTTTCCTTAGGATTTATTTCTGATTATTAATTTTTTTTTGAAGTTTAACACTACAAAAATGATATTACATTGTTTTTCCACATGTGTCTCCCTCCCTTCTGGATTCTGTAATCTTTAATAAGAAAGCGTAGACTACATTGTACAAGCTTGAAATGTTCTTCTGTACCTACTCACCTATTTTAATGAACCTTGCAGAAACACATTATCTTTGAAATCACTATATTCAAACTTAGCTGGAATTAGTTAACAGTGTTCAAATTTATCATTAACACTCTCAGGCTTAAGCAAAATTATGTACAGAGGAATCCACAGAGTGGAACAGCGTAAGCTTTACTTCCATAGGAACCGAGGCTGGGGACACTGAAATACTCATGACAAGAAGGGAGAAGCCATTCTCCTTTCCCCACAGCACTGAAACACCAGCTATCTACCTCACTCCCTCTGTTAGGCTAACACTGGGGATAAAAACATCAGAACTTGCAAACACAAGTGAAGAACTTCAATCCAAACCAACAGCCTTTGTTCTCATTAGCAAAAAATAAACATGGAGAGCACATACTATGACTTGCAGTAAATATACATGCAATAGATCATATTCATATACCGTGGTATATGGTGCTGCTGTTGCTGTTAAGATACGATTCAACCAATGGTGCTTGTTCTTCTGAATGCTTCATTCTGCGTGTTCTTGTGCGACTGTCCACATTGGACTGAACCATTAATGGCTCCTGGCGCTTTTTTTTCTGCTTCTGTTCTAGCAATGCTCGCTGAGGAAAATACAAAGAAAAGCATCTGTTACTGGACTCCAAACAGTAGCAGTCTATGATGAAAAACAATGGATATCTTTACACCTTCTCCAGTTTTCCAGTGGCAGCAGTTGGGAAGTGTGATATTGAGATATCAGATTATAAGAAATCTTTCAAAAAAATACAACAAACCTACTGTTAAAACACCAGCTGAAAACAGCAAATAATTAAAATAGATCTTTCTGAGCAGCCTACCAGCTGTCAGAGCTTGCTTGGAAATAACCCTTGGGAAAACAGCAGTGTGAGAGTACTGGCTGTAAAGCAATGGGAGGGTAAGCAAGGGCATGAGGCAGAGATGCCAATTTAAGTTTTTGTAAATTAAAAGCAGGTAATCTGCAAACTACAGTCAAGAGATAATGCTGGACATGAGCCTAATTTAACACCTATACAAGATGAACTTTAATTAAACACTTGAATTTCTCGGCTAGACCTGCTGAAAACCAAAGCCTTCAGCATCTGATTGATGGCACCACTGGCATCTCTTTTTTTGAGCCTTCTTCCACAACCTCAGAGGACTGAACTGTTAATTTTACTTCTCCATTACCTTACTATTTCCCTGCTCCTGTAGTGATTTTTTGCTTTTAGAAGGGAGATGGACTAAAACTGAAGAACAAGAATGGAGAGTGGGTTGTGTGGATAACCTCAATATGACTTCAAAACTATGAGAAACTAGTAGAGGACTATGGCCTAAATCAAAAGTATTTGAATTTGAAAATGAGATGCTGGTAGATAAAACGATGGGAAAAGTATAGAAAAACATAAAATTAAACTCACAAGGTTTAACCATAAAGGTGATAAAGTTTCAGGAGAAGGGGACCACAGAAAAATCAAAGCAGAAGTGGAAACCTGAAACCCCATTAAATCCCGATGGCAAAATCCCCTGAGATTTCATGGCAGAGATCCTGAATCACTTTGTTGTACAACTCATGTTGGAATACAGTAGCAACATAGCACACAGTGCCACTACTTTACAGTCACAAGGACTAAATCCATGGAATGAAAAGGAAAATATGTAAAAACTTGGTGGTAAAGCTCTGTGGGCTGGCATGCCTACCAGAACCTCTTGACCTTTCTGGTCCACCAAAGGGGTAACAAATACATTTTAAGTCAGCTTAAAACAAGTCCAAGTCAATGGAAATGAGAATCACTCGAATCACAGTCACAAGAAATTTTTAATGGAAGTTAGACTTCTCAGTGAGCTGTAACCTCCATAGACGTCTCTTTTGCATTCCCTAATCAGAGGATGCAATTTTCTAACAATTACCAGACATATGTCAGTGATTTCATTACTCCAAGCTCTACACATAAGAGAACAAGAAAGTCCCCCTCCAAAATCTTACCTGCCTGTCAAGCTTCTGCTGACGCAAGCTGCTCCCCTCATCATCCAGAACACTGCAAAGACAGAGTACATAATTGGAACACATTTATCACTCAAAGCAACAGCAATCACTGGAGCAAAGTCTTGCAGGAGTTATCCATATAAAACTCCCACTATGTTCCCTTAAATTTGCCTGCCCTAACCTACAAAAGTTGGCTCACAAGAATTAAAATGCAGTCTATGAAAAACTGAAAAACTCTGGTTCACAACTGCCATATTTCTGTCTGCTAGATGTTGATAGCTGGGAGATCAGCTCCTGCACATTCAATCATTTACATTAATTAGACGTTAAAAACTAATGGCATTAAAAGCAGAAAATTATCTTTGTGAAGTATCTTATCAAATTACTGGCTACATTTTATTTTTCTGGAGAACAAAGGTCTCTATTTTAAGAACATTATGGTTAAACACTAAACATAGATAATTAAATCTTTTAAACTGTAATATATCATCTGCAAGGAAAACAGTCCTGCAGAGCAAAAAGAAATACCCTCTTACAAGTAGAATTCATTTTCTCTTACAACACGTTTTTATACAAGATTAGCCCCTTTTTATAATCATTCCTAACAATTACAAAAATTAAAAATCCAGGACAAACTAACATGGATTCTGACCTACATACAACCAAATTGTATTGCAATGGAAATTTCATTAAAAATGTGATTTCCCATGTATTAATATATGCTCTTTAGGAGACAGTAACATTAGAATGGATTTAGATAGGGCAGCTAATAAAGGCATGTAGAATGCCTCCTTTCCAATACCAGCATTATCAAATACCTATAATTAGGCATTATTGGTAGCATCAGCCTTTTATAATTTATACTCAAGTTTATTTACAAAAGACTGATGCTCCACAGAATGAAACCATGCTGTACAAGTAACGCCGGTATGAAATTTTACAGTCACTTGTAGAGGAAATGCATTCCTCATAGTCCACATAAAATTAAAGAAAGAAAAAACCCAACACATTCACAGAAATGTGTTCTGCTTTACACCATGCATTCTTTATTTGATCAATTTCAGAACCAAGTTCTAAGAAGATGACACACATTTCTCCCTGGTATACAATATCGGGATCTTTTCAAGAGTGCCTCACTATACCTGCAGTACATATCAGCTGCACTGCTAGAAAGTAAAACTACCCAAACGGTTACCTTTGACCAAACAAGTGAGTAAAAGATGCCTAAGTATAAAGTTTCATGCTTAATGGCTGTAACAATCCTTCTCGTTTAAGACAATGGTTGAAAAAAAGCCAAAACCATGTAATGATGCTAATGCAGACCGTAAGAACTGAAGAGGCAGCAATGCATATACAGCTGCAATGCAATACCCAGAGAGGGCAAGAGCCAATATTGCTGCACTCCATCAGTCATTTGCAGAGCTAAGGAGAAAACTGTGATCTCTTCTCATCTTCTGCTTTATAAATCAGACCATGCTGACTCCCTCAGATATGTTAAATGAGCTATTTATATACTTCTTAGACATTTCCATAAACCACCAGTTCAGTCATTATCTTTATGTGGATATAATGGCTTTCAGTATCATGCTGGATTGTTCGTAATTGTAAATTCTCCATCACAGACAAGGTGTCTTAGGCACTCTGGATGACTTTAGCTTCCTCTGCTTTCCCATCACACCTTCCCTGGCATAACACACACACTGCCTGGATCAAGGGAACAGGGAAATGTCCTCTGCCAGGCTTTAAACCTCACCTATGATGCCCTGGGAAGCCACAACAAAATAAATTCACGACCAGGCAAACAAACACAGCTCCCTCAGGTCTCTTTATGCCCAACCTTGCCACAGTAAACGTGGCAATTTAAGCAACACCCTAGCAAACACCAGTCAGAGGAAGGGTGCGATCTGCATTGATTCAGCATTCCACGAATGCAAAGCAACTATGAGACACACCAAAGGACTGCCAAAAAATGAAGCTCAATCCAAAAACTGTGGATGCTGTAAGACTAAAACACCTCTCCATATTGCCCTTCCACTGCAAGACATTGTTTTTAAAGCCTCTGAATATATGCAACCAAAGCTGACACCCAGAGCAGCGTGCATTGAAAACCAGCTGACAGGCTCGTCTGCAACTTCCAGGTCCTTCATTCTCTCACTTCATATTTTATAAAGTTCTGGGCTGTTTTCCACAATCTTTTTGTAAATGTGCATTAACTACAAGTCTTGCATTATTTAAGACGTAAAATTCAACAACTAAACTTGAACTCCAGCTTACTTCAATCATACCGTGGTTCAGTGGAATACACTTATTTCGACAGTTCTCACCCCCTCCAGATTACTGGACTTGTGCTAGAATGCCTTACTCCCACCAGAGAGACACACCACTCTTCTGAATCCCTCACAGTGTAAAAAAGGCCTTAAAGTACGCTCATTACCACCAACTCTAATAGTCAATGCCATCATCAGCAAACAGCTGAAGTTCTGTCCTTTCTTGATGCCTAAATAATCGTTATGGAGGCCAAGTAAAAAGGGGATCCTATTTAGCTGTTGTATTCCTCTGTAGAACAGCAGAGCATTCCAGTTCCAGGCTGTGTACATTGTTAATATTTTCTACAGGACTAATGGACCCTGGAATTGCTGATTAGCAACGTTTTGCTGAAAGCAAGTATTTCCCATTCCCCGATTTACAGTGGAAGAACTCTCCTGAGACTGGGGCCCAAGATTTGTCTGTAAGAGATGTCAGGTTTTTAATAAATAAATAAATGGGTTAATAAATTTTAAAAATGGTAAGCTTCGTTTCCATAGCAGTTCCAACAGGCACTCTTGCTGCCTTTAAAACATCTGCAGGGGATTCTGAGATGCAGGCGTGTAAGCACCACTGACCCCTTCCCACCCTTCCATGGAGCCGTGCAGACTTAGCAGATCATCTTGCCACAGCGTCTGGCAGTCCATGCGCTCTGACAGATGCTCCAGGGTCCCAGAGTCAAAATCCAGAGGACATCCTATTCTGTCTTTGGAAAACACAAAAGTCTAGGAGCAGAAGCATAGCCTTTGTCCTTCCTGGTCTTTGAAAAGAACAGAAATCAATTGCTCTTTCCTCTGGATGAGCTGTGCACGCGGTGAGGACCCAGCTGACCCTGCCCAGTTTCAGAAGAGGCCATGGTTTTGTTGCTCTGTAGTCCACATAACTGAGATGGTCAGAGACTAAGGGCCCACAACAGCGGAAAAACTATGCCGTAACATGGCAGGACCCCTATTGGAAATAAGCTCATAGAGAGCAAGGCTGTTAGAACAATTCTGCCTACATGTTTGATGTGATGCTAGAAAATCCCAGTGGCAGCATGAAATTCAGTCAGTCTTAATACAGACATATAACTTTATAATTCATGAAAATTGAATTATTGAAGACAATGCATACATATTAGCAATCTGCTGAGCATGCTGAAGCATCCTAATGATCCAGCAAGGTTCATTTTTACTCTTGTTTGATCAAGTATTATGTATCCACCCAGCATCTTGGCTATGGCTTTGCCCCCATTTAAAACAAAAAGCAAATTTTACACTACATATAATA